CTTTTTTATTTTCTCAAATAAAAAAAAACGAGATTTGGTATGTTAGTATATAACATAAATTAGGATTGATTGACGTATTCAATTATTGTTTTTGGTCACTTCCTGTCTCACTGGAAATTACAACTTTTGATTTTTAAATATTACCCTCGGTATATTTCTACTTTATTCGATAGAAAATGACATTGTGAATACAATGAGACATCATAAACTCACCGGCAAAAAAAACGGCCACTAAAAACTAGTCTCAATTTCAAAGTTGGATTTCTCGCGAACCATTCATTAGATTTTGATATTTTTTTTTAATAATAATAATAATAATAGCTCCCGTGTATAGCGTTTAACGCCTTGGGAGTAGCAAGGTACAGCTTGCTATACTAGAGCCGTTCGGTATACAAGGAAGGTAATGTGCTAGCACTACGCTTCAACCGCCTATTATTACCTCAGGATTGTGAATCACAAGTACTCATTTAAGGCTGAGTCGACCTAGGTACCCAAACTACTTTTATTTTAATAAAAATAGTCGGCTGATGAAATGCCGGGTGTGGGAATCGAACCCACACCTTGAGATTGGTAGACGAGAGCCTGTACCTCTACGCCACCGGGCACCTTTAATTTTTTTTTAAATTGTAAATTAATTCGTTCTTAACGGATGCTACGTCAAAAATTTGTATTCCGAATTTATTTTGAGCATATACAGGGTACAACAATAAGACGAAGTTTTTTGCTCGAACTTTGTAACACTCTGTAGGGTGCAGCAGCTGTAGTAGCTATTGCTAAATCAAATCACGTTGTAGCCTCATCTTTTGTGAGCATTTTGTTTTTTTAATCACGACATTATCTCTGTTTGTATTGAAGATACACTGATTTAAAACGAACGACTCGGAAAATGCTTCGCAGGCAGAAAGTTTTATGTATAAATAATCAAGGCGACATAGACAAAAACAGATTTATGAGTATTTGCAATATTACAACAATGGTTGTCAAATTAAAAAATGCCATTATCTGTGACGGATGTTGCTCGTATTGTGGCTTTAAGTGAGGATGGTTAAAGTCAATTTTATGTGTCCGATACCCTGGATCTCGAACAACAGTCCAGGATGCCTTGAATCGGTATATGGAAACGGGAAATTTCACCAGGCAAGTGGGTTCCGGAAGAAAACGGAAGACAAATGCAATTGACGACCGCTTGACCTGAATACTTTACGAAATCGTAGAATTACAGCGTTTCAGAATCAACATCTGCTACAAGCCGTGCGTAGAACTCAAGTCAGTTGGAGACGAAGACTAAAATAAAACTTGTCTGCAAGGAGGCCTGCCACAGGACCGCTACTTCCAAGACATCGTCGAGCACGTCTTCAGTGTGCGCGTTTACATGTGAATTGGGATATTGAGCAATGGAATAAAGTCCTTTTCACGGATGAATCGCGGTTTTACCTGCATTTTACCTGCAATAGCTACTACAGTTGCTGCACCCTACAGGGTGTTACAAAGTTCGGGCAAAAAACTTCGTCTTATTGTTGTACCCTGTATATGCTCAAAATAAATTCGGAATAAAAATTTCTGACGTAGCATCGGTTAAGAAGGAATTAATTTACGATTTAAAAAAAAATCATCAAAATCTAATGAGTGGTTCGAGAAATCCAACTCTGAAATTGGGACTAGTTTTTACTGGCCGATTTTTTTGCCGGTGAGTGTATGTCAACATTTTCGCATATTTATGGTTTATTTGAAATTGTAACATGCGGTTCATAACATTAATTTGATCGAAATACTAAGTGTGCGGTACCAAATATTTAGTAAAAAATGCTTTCTCCAAAAATGCTATAGTCTGTCCAACGAGAAGATCCTTGACAGTGATAGATGTGTCTGTCATTTTAATTTCAAAGTAGTTTATTTTATTTTACAAAGAAATAAGTTGGTACAACTGGAACGCATAGCAGGATATATTTAAAATTTGATTGACAAGATGACAAGTGATTACTTCAAAATATTGTGAAAAACTGTAAAAACTGAAAAAATGTAATCGAGTTATTTTATTTAATAAAAACGGTATGTGTTAATACAAAACAAACAAGAACAAGGCACTACATACCAAAAAAATATAAAAAATAACTATTATTTACTTTCAAGCTTTATGAAACTACCCGCATTTATGATTATATTTATCAATATAACTTATGTACAAATACAAATTTGTAATATTCCACAGGTATAAATAAAACAACATAGGTAAATACAACAACTATTTTATTAATAATAACACCTACCAAATTTTATACCTTAAAGGTGGATTAATTACCTTTAATCTTAATTTTTTTAAACCAGTACCTTTTGACATTATTTTTCTGCACCAGTACTAAAATCCATTATTTACCTATCGTGTGATGTCGATATTTTACAGCTACTCCAGTTTTTAGTATGTGTTTAGTTTGATCCTTATATACGAAATGCACTTATCTACGACGAAATGGTATACAAACTTTATCGATGGCAACTTCATTGGTGTATAAGACTTTCTGCCTGGGCAGCGTGTATTAACCATAAACTGTGCTCTGGGCCTACAGTTAATTTTCACTCGATTTTTCCTCCACTTGACTTCAAAAGACACAAAACACACGTAATAATACGAATCAAAATGCATCATCTTTCAAAATGCAGGGTATTTAACAAAAGTTGACACAAAATTATAACCAATAATTTGGCAAGACTTTGACAAGCGTCAAAAATGACAAAAATCTAAAGGCGAGTTCATACGCATCGGCGTCCGTTTGTCGTTCATCGTTCCGTCAAACCAATAAAATTGAAATACGATCTGTCATTTTTTAAATAAACCAATAAAACTGGTTAAAAACAACCAGACACGACGCATGACGGATTTATATTTAAACCCATCCATAGATAACTTAAAAATTATTAGAAACTTTTTTAGTAAAATAAATAGATTGGTATGGGACGTCATCTGCTTTTCTTCTGTCATCGTCTGTCGAAATCTTACCTGAGAAAAAAAAACAGAGTATAGTGAGCTATTACCCTTGTTCCATTTGAAAAAATTGGGATACAATTAAAAATACGATTTGGGCATCTTTTATCTGGCCAGGACAAGACACGAAAAACATTAGACAATCAAATCTATTTTTCCAAAGCTCCTTGATTAAAAATTAGTGTTTTTAACACAGCCATGACACTCTAGATTAAAATTTAAAATACGACTTTTTAAGCAAAAATGTCAAAAGTTGACATATGATATGTCATTCTATTCAGAGTGTCATTTTCTATCAAATAAAGTAGAAATATACCGATGGTGCCATTTAAAAATCAAAAGTTGTAGTCATTTCCGATGAAACAGGAAATGACAAAAAACAATTGAATACGTCAATCAATCCTAATTTTTTATATTATACATACCAAATTTAGTTTTTTCTATCTGAGAAAATAAAAAAGTTATAAGGGTGAGCCACTTTTGTCGTACACGGTATATCAAAAAGAAAATTATAAAAGAGATTTATTAAAATAGACAAAACACAAAGTAATATTCATATTTAGTAATTAAAAAAAATCAATTCTTGTTGAATTGGATTTATTTGATATTTCCAGTAGTTTAAATACAATTCATTATTAATTTATTCAAAAATTAATACATAAAAAACGATTTTCTTTGTAGTTCGTGCATTAATACATAGAAGATTTTTAATTTGAAATCAGTTGGTTTTATAAGAAAAACGCAGGAGGTATCATTTTTGTAAATATACCAGGCTAACCAAATTATTTTTACCAAAGTTTTTCTTCAAAAATTTGGTTAATAAGTATAATAAGGGCAGACTATTTCAATCCCTTCTGCTCATTTTAAAAATGTGAAAAATAAACAGATTGATTTTAGCAATTGTTTTACAACACCCTCTATATCCTATAAATATTTCATGACCAAAAAGATGCTTGGAAATCCGATGACGCAGTGACACGTTACTTCCCTCCTCCCATGCATAGGTAAGACTTACCAGATAACATTTCTAGTTTAATGACATCATTACATTATCTTAATAATCTGATACCTTTAATGCAATCAATATTATCTAAATTTATTAGTTTATTGTTAATATACAAACAAATTACCTAAACAAATAATAAATCTTATTTAATCTTTTTACAATAAGTTAATCCCACTTAATCATTCCTAATATTAAATACTGAATTACATTATAACAACTTCGTTTTGATCCAACCAAATATAAAATAATCTCATACTAAATAAAGCAAAATATTTCCTAAAGTATTGTCTGGCCAGCGAGAGAATATATCATTTAGACAGAAAAAAAACAATATAATTTTGCATAAAAATGACAGAAAACAATAATTATCATACATTCTAAAAGAACACACCGTTCAGTGGCCATTTTCATAGAGCCAAGCAGCGCCTAAAGGCACTCGTTTCCTCGGAGGTCAATTCTAGACTAGTGTGGGATTGTGTGCGTGCTCTAAACTAGTCTAAGAAACTAGTGATGGGAAAAACCGATTATTAATTTCAATAATCGAGTACTCGAGTTTCAAGCGATTGCAATAACCAAGTAATCGCTCGAGCGAAATATCACTCGTATTTAAAAATACGGTTTTTCACCCGTCGCTTGTTGTAAGTACTCGTTAACACCAAGCGCCAAGCAGTAAGTTGCGTGCGCAGTCATGAATGGCAAGTAGCAAGCGGCGAGCGATTCGCTTGATTTAGTTTAATTCAAAGCATTGTCGATGTAGGTCGTGAAATTTTGTTACTAGCTTGACGATTTTAGCTTGGTACTCGTCACTTGCATCGCTCGTTCATAATCGAGCGATGTCAGTTATTTCAATAATCGAGTACTCGAGCGAATTTTCGATGATGGTCGAAGTCTGAAGAAGAAATGACAGAACAAATTTTGTCAGTGCGACAGCTAAATGTGGGGTTCTTTGTACTAGGCGATGATAGGCCATTGTCAAAAACCTATATGAAGGGTTCAGTCTCCAAGTTGCTACACTTTTGTAAATGATAGGACTGGAGAATATAACTTAACCACAATAGATTTAAAAAGGTTACAGTGGAACAGGCCGATAATTAGCTCAAAAATCTGATCTAATCACACAATCTAACGCTGGACGGACTTTATTATGATTGTAACATACCTGTAACTCTCCTCAAATACTTCGTTCCTTGAAACTTCCAATCGGCAATGACCGCTTTGCGGTTGCATTGCTGTCAATTCTGCCCGAAGTACCTTTAATTTTGCCACCAAATCTCGTCGATATTTTGGCAAATGCTCCCCCTCACCTAACAAGCCCTAAAAGGCAACAAAATTTGTAAATTAAACGCAATAAATAATACAGTATAGAAAATGTCCACTAATGCATAACAACACCGTATGATCGAGAAAAAAAAACGGCGTCAAAGACGGCTGGGGAATGACAATCAATGATAATTTTGGTGAGGTCAATCTCTAGACCTATTTACTTAAAATTGGCATGAAACTTGTCAAAAATTAAAACTAATGAAAGGAAGTTTAAAAAAGAGTAGAACGTTTTGAGACACACAAATGTATCTTCAAAAAATATTTTTTTCTCTAATTTTAAACTACACCATTAAAAAATCATTTTTGCTGAAATAAAAATAAATAAAAACCTTTTTAAGGCTAGTTGGCCTTAAGAAGGTTGTAATTTATTTTTATATTGAGTAAAAATGACTTTTAAAAGGCGTGGTTTAAATTCAATAAGAAAATATTTTTTATTTTTAAATAGATTTGTGGGTCTTGAAAGGTTCTATCCTTTTCAATCTCTCTATAATTAGTGTTAATTTTCGACAAATTTTATGTCAATTTTTAGTAAACGACCTCCAGATATTGACCTCGCAAAAATTATCATCGATTATCATTCCTCAGCCATCTACGGCGCCGTTTTTTTTTCGCTCATACGGTGCTGGCTCAACCTTAGTAATCTACAATTACTAAAACATTATTATTATATTTACCTGCGGTAAATCCTCATGAACCCTGGCTCTTGGAGACAGAGGTCCCGGATTTGGATGCGTTGGCTGTCCATTGGGCACCGCATGGTTGCCGTTGGGCGTGGCTACAGCTGCGGTAGGCGTAGTCGTAGCGGCAGTGGGCGGGGTGCTAGCGGCGGGATTTTGCGCGTGTGGACCGCAGTGGGGATTGACGCGTTTCAAGATATTATTGAGGATTTGCGAGTTAAGACGGGGATCGGTGAATTGCGTTGTTCGGCTGTTGTGGTCGACGAAATACGTCTAAAGCACATAATGTATAAAAACTTTATACTATACATAATATATACTGTATACAGAGTGGTCCGAGTTGTATTCGGAATAAATTTATGATCTAAAATGCTTCGTTTCAGACGAGATACAGTGTGTTTTCATTTCATGTTCAGTTTCATTTTTATTTCGATTTTCTTCAAATAATTTCTCAACTAATGTAGATATTTGGATGAAAATTGACGTTTGGGAGTTTTTTGATATGAGATATTTGATTTCGATGTCAATATAACTCGTACTAATAGGGGGCGCCACCTACGTATTTTTTAAGTGGTTTGAAAACTAATAATTTGTCGGCACCTGTATAAAACTACTGAGTAAAAAATACTTTATGATCGAAAAAAAAAACGATCATACGGTATACATATTTTCGCCGTTTTTTACGTAAAAAAGGTCTCTGTAGCAATCACTCGTAGCGATTTTTACCAAGAGACCTTTCTTATGTGGTTCTCGAAATAATCAATATATTATGTCATCATTGACAAAAATTTAACGTTTTGACTAGATAGTTAGTAGACTAAAATCATAAATTTGAAATGTTTTTGTACCAAAAGTTCAACAGAAACTGTTTCATCACTGTAATATATCACATTAAATTATTAAGAATATAATAGTTAAGCATAGGCAACTTTTATTACTTGCTTCTTCATGGATTTAAATTTAAAGAAGGATTTTTTCAAGGATTTAAATTGAAATTCAATTTTTTCTAGAAAAAAATATGATTAATTTAAAAAATAAAAAGTTCTCAAATTTATCATTTCAGAAAAATAATTACCTAGTCAAATTGTTTGTTTTTTGCCAAAGATGACTTGTATAGATAATTTACATTCCAAATATCGTGAGAACGGTTATTGCCATGAGACCATTTTTAAGTAAAAAACGGCGAAAATGTAGATTTTTTCACTCAGTAGTTTAATACAGGTACGAGTGAATAGTTATTACTCTTCAAAACAGTTAAAAAATGTGTAGGTGGTGCCCCCTACAAATAGGAGTCATATTGACATTGAAATTAAATGTCACATGTCAAAAAACACTCAGACACCAATTTTCATCCAAATATCGGCATTACTTCAGAAATTCTTAGGAAAAAATGCAAATAAAAATGAATCTTCTACACCCTGTATCTTTGAAACAAAGCATTTTAGGACATACATTTCTATGAACTTTTCTACTTATTTTTATTTACAGAACATGCTGCCGAAGTTTCCCAATACAATTCGGACCACCCCATGGTACAAAGAATACAAGGTATGATCGATAGCGGCTCCAATTTCGTTCAGTTCGCGCATACCACCTGTGACGTCACTAGGAAAATGTGGAATAAATAAAAAATAAAGAAAGTTGACAGGAGATCTGCATTTTTTGGGGTTATGGTTAAGAATTGTTTAATTTTAAGACTTTTTAGTTCGTTTAATTTAATAATTACTAAAACCAGCAGTTCCAAAAAAATATATTTAAAAATAATAATTATCTATTAACATGGATTTGGACTTAGGACCATAATAGGTAAGAATACTAAATTTATTTCTATATTCGGTACCTATAAAATTGTTTATTAGGTTTTTAGTTTGCGATGTTTATGGTAAATAATTTTCATTTTTATTGCCTCTGATTTCACATGAGGACAGAGATGAGGATATATATATATGGAAAAGTAACCACAAGAGGAATTGTTACATCATTTAAAAAATGTTGGAAAGTTTATTGTTTCCCATCGAACAGTAGAAATTGCCAATGCAGATGAATGTATTGTAATTGTGATAGAAGTAATTCCAAGGGTGAAGTTTATTATAATTAGTGGAAGTAATTCCAAGGGTGAGGTTTATTATAATTAGTGACCTGTGCTTCTTTTTATATGTAGATGTTTCAGGTTTTGAGAATAAATCGGTTGAACGAAACCCAAAATTTAGAGGAAGATGCCCATCAAGGATTATATAGCTCAAATTTACTTTAATGGTAGGCAATTATTCAATGCAAATTAACTTTTTAAGTGACTGAAATATTAAATAGTTTACAATATGGTATATCAGTAAAAATATATTTTACTTTTAGGTACAATTAGGGCCCGATACATTTCAAAAAGTAGAATATTATTTTATATTAAATGAGGTATTGTACCAACAATCAATTTATATTAATACCGGAGATTAAAAAATCACAGAATAAATAGTTCTTTTTTTTATACTACAAAAATAAACTATAGAATACAACAGTATTTAAAAAAATAAATAAAAAGTTATGTCCCGGCCGAGATTCGAACTCCGGTCTCTCGCTTCCTAGCCCGACTCCTTACGCACTGCTCCACAGTAACTTGCTTAGCGATAATTCAATGACGGTATATAAACAAAAAAAACAGGTTTATAACAATATCTTGACGATTTGAACTGGCGCGCGGAGCGTGCTGACCAATAGCGCCTGTTATCACCTGTGACGTAGCGACCAACCTGCGCAATATCATACCTTGTATTCTTTGTACTATGGGACCACCCTATATACTTTATCAACAAAATATGGTATTAATAAATAATATTTTCTTGCCTTTAGCTGTGTATTTTTTCTAATTTCGAAAAATCGCAAGTAGAGGAAAAATAAAAAGTAAAAAGAAAATTGTTTTGCTTGTCGTAAAGGGGGAACCAAGCTCCACCTCCACAACCGGTTTCTGGGCCTACCCTTCATCAGGTGGGCTGTCCAGGGGCTGGTTCTCACCGATAGAGCAAGCAAAACTTTTTCAATATCAACAGACGATGTCGTAAAGTGTCGGTGAGATATTAGTGCATCTCCCGTCAAAAGATGGTAAAGAGCGTTTTTCGGCCCGCTCAAATATATATGAAAAGAATTAATTTCAAAATAAGGTATATACTTTATCAACAAACTTGCAAAAAATACAAATAAAACTTCAATCAGAAACTCACTCTGCCTGTTGTGGTGTGTCTCATTTCCCAACCAGATGGTAAGGGTCCCAAATGGTCTAAGGCTAAGCTTATAGGAGCCAAATCCTTAGGTATTCTGGGATCGTGCCACGTGGAAACGCCCGATGGTATGTGGTAAAAGTAAACTTGCCCTTGTTGGGTAGTTCTTAGTTCTGAAATGTAATAAATCCATATTTTTCCAGTTAAAATATTTTTACATATTTTTTTAAGTGAGAAGACAATTATTATAAATACGTTCTAGAGGCAGTTGAACAATCCTATAAAAATAAAAAAGTTACTTAATATTGATTAAACAGATATTCTGAGAATAATGTATCCTACACATAACTTTAATTATCATTATAGGATATTCGAATTTTTAAACAAAACAGTGCACACCTAAATAACGTATTTTTCGCCGAATCTGTTAATAATAAAAACTTATTGTTATGAATCTATAAGTATATAATAAAAAAATAGATCAGAAAAAATATATGAATTAATGCAAATAGAAAGTTATAATTAACTCGAAAAGTTCTTTCAATTAGTAGTGATTTATACACGTGTTAATTAATTAATATTAAATGTTCGTTATTTAAATATTAGAAAATAAAGAAAGCGTTTATTTATTAACAATACAAAATTTCACGTGTAATTTTTAATTTTAAGTGTAATAAGATCAATGTATGTGCAAAGTGTACTTTTGAATGATGACAGATAAACAATCATTATGGAAAATTAAATTATAATATTTTAACTGTTAAAGTCAAAGCCTGCTTGATCATAATATGCGCTGCTTTGAATAAAAAGATTAAGAGTCTATTTCATTGGTCCGAAAAAGCAGCAAAATAAGCTTTCGGCGTTTAACGTTTTATGTAAAACTAACTAGGCATTTTTAGACAAATGAAGAAGGAAATTAAAGATAAAGGATTATACTATATTTGTATTGTACCACATTTTTAGACAACTTCTTTATTTTTAAGATTGTGATGGTCAGACATCAACAAAATATTCCTTATGTTTGGACTAAATTTTCTCGAAAATAAAGCCATAATTTAAAATTCCGTTACAATAAGGAAATAGATTGAAGTTTTGTGATTACAGTGATATATAATTTATAATGTTTTGTAACAAATTGCTCGCTATTTTATGGCAAATGCCGAAGCTCTGCAAACCTTAATCAAAGCAGGTGTGTTTGGAATTTTGGGTGTGGCTAGGACGACAGGATCGGGCTAAACCTTAGGCAGATTTCTGAAATATAATATATATTTTCTTTGGTTACACACGCGCTTTACCCGGCCCCTGAGGGCGACCCGAAAGTATGGTGTAATAGACTCTTAAGGAAGGAGTATCCATGAACTAGAAGCATTAAGAGACAGAGAATTGACATCCATAACCCCCATTTTTGACAGTTTTGTTTAACGTTTCAATTGACAAATTTGTTGGGCTGAGCTTTTATTTTATGTTATTTATTATTTATTCTACAATTTGTTTTGTTAAAAGATATTAAATCTAAAAGAATATTGTGTTAAAACTTAAATTAACAATCATATTATTTCAAATTTTAGAAAAAGATTGTAAAATAGCTGTGCAGCGTGCAGTAGATCTCAGCCAATAATCAAAAGAAAGAAAGGAAAATAAATACACTACAAAAACAAACTTAAAAAAAAAACAAATATGTATCTAAAATATCGTCGGAAATCCAAATAAACTCTTTATTATCAGGGGTTAAACAGTATAAACAGTATGGTTTAATTTAATGGTCCATATTTTTAGTAACTGTTGTCAAGGCAGCGAAAAAAGGCTCCAAGTTAACATTCACGTCCCATATCGTTCTGCGCATGCTCAGTAGCGTATTCAGAGAAGGATAAGCTTATACAATAATCTTATTCTAGAAAGAGATAACTAGAAAAATGCACGTGAAAGTCCCGTAAACAAAATCGTGTATAATATACGTATGGCATAGATTAAGGTTGATAATATACTCCTTCCTTAATCTTTTTATCCAAAGAAAATAACATTAAAAACGTACCGTATCCCGGCGGTAAATCCAACTTGGTATGAGCTCCACCAACAGCACCATTGGCCACGGCCTGGCCCACAGCGACCGCCACTTGCGCCGCTATAACGGAATTCCTGTTCCTTCCACCCCTCCTCCTCCCACTCCCATCTCTTCTCTCCTCACCGTTCCTCGCTCTGCGCTCCCTATTGGGCGCCCTCTGCGGACTGGCAGCGCCGTTACTCACGTTCGGCGAAGAGTTACTTGACGTGGCGACAGATGGCGTGACGATAGCGTTGGCGCCGCCGCAGGATGAAGTAGGGGTGTCGGGATTGTTCTGGCTGTTCTTGTCGATTAAGGAGTACGGTGGGCTTAGGGGTTCTGTGACGATTTGGGGAGGGGAGGCTGGACTGTTGTGGGAGGTTCGGAGTTCTTTGTGTTGGGGACTGACCAGGGGGGATATGGGAGAACTGCTGGAGCCGGGAGTGAGGGAGAGTTGGATGTCGTTGGGGTTTGGGGTGGTTGTTGTGGTGGGAGTGTTAAATTCCTCGCTCCTGGGAAATAAAAAAAATCTTAATAGAAAACAGTTCATGTTTTGTGTTACAGAATGATTCAAGGCGATATAAATTTAGAAAAAATGGATTTTTGTATAAAGGCACCTGCTCCATCTGCCTAAATTATTTTCAACATTGCAGTGTTGCCGCTTCATACTAAAAGTGGTAGCATCTTTGTTACTTTAAGTAGAACAACCGGTATATTATTACATTTTTCGAAACTACTTTCATTTCTCATCATTTTTCTATCACATTAACCTATACCTATCTCTAATAGTTTTTGAGATAAAAAATAAAACGTGTAAAATTGACAAAAACATCATCTTGAATAACTTTAGCTTTTCAACGATATATCATGTTCATATACCTAAATCTTCTGGTTTCTTTAGTAAAGCCATTTAAAAGATAATTCTATATGTAGTTGTTTTGTAGAGGTCTATTATTTTTTGTGACGTTTCCTGGCCACTTAAAAGAGACTTTTTAATCATAACTCATTTTTTTCCATAGGTAATGAGGGTGGCTCATTAGAATATTAGGAAAAACCACTTTTTAATGAATAATTTGGTACCAAATACATGGTATTTCCAGTCAAAGCATCGTTATGCACACAATTATTGCACTCTGGATCGAAATTTAAAATCTATTTGTTCTATGTATTTTTTAATTTAATGGATATAGATTGTGTAAATTATGGTATCCTAAACAAACATGAATAAATTAGGATAAACCCAGGGTGCAAAGATTTAAATAAACTTGTTTAAAAAAACTTATGATAAATCAAAAGATAACTGTAAAAATTATAAAAACTTTTCCTATAAAGCTATAAAAAAGTATTCCTATATTATTATATACCCTATCTATTCATCAAATAAGTACAAAGTTACACTTGCTGTTGTAACGTTTAAATACTTTAATAGATCGAAAAATCATTGTAAAAGATATAATACACACACCGGAAAAATCTAGGGATATCATTTTATTAAAGTTAAAAATAAATGTTTTGAATAAACAACCACATATTTGTAGGCCGATTTTTTCTACATCGATTGAAACGAAGTAGTCACACTAGTTATTTCTAAATTTGGGATATTTGCAGAAGTGTTGTGCATTTTTTGTCAAATGTATAAAAAGCACCTAGCATCAATTGTTCGAATTTAACCTGTACTGGCTATGTTTTTATGATAACTGGCCAGAATTCATTCAAATAACTCTGTTTAGTATTAAACATTATGGAGCGTAGACATCTTAACAGAGACGAAATGCTAAAGGCCATGGGTATGCTCGAAGCTGGAATGCGCCAAATCAACGTAGCTAGAGCATTAAATACAAGGCAAGGTGTAATATCGCGATTAAGTGCACGCTACCGTGAAAGTGGTGATGTTGCAGAAAGGCACACAGGGCGACATCGCATTACTACCCCTCAGGAAGATCATTTTTTACAATTAAATGATCGACGCCGACCGACTCTTACAGCACCAGAGCTTAGTTTAATTCTCCAGGAAACACATAATGTAACCGTTAGTCCTGACACTGTTCACAATAGATTAAGAGAGGTCAACTTAAGAAGTAGACGCCCCTGGAGAGCTCAACCCTTAACGAGAGGAAATCGAGAAGTACGATATTTGTGGGCTCAAGATCATGTTCAGTGGTCGAATGAACAATGGGCCAATGTTCTCTTCACGGATGAGTCACGCTTTGGAATTCATCCGGATTCGAAAAGACTTAGGGTATGGAGAGAACCGGGAAATCTTATTCGGTTAGATCATGTTCAGGAAGTGCACCCTTATCAAGGTGGAACAGTTATGGTCTTGGGAGGAGTCCAGTTAGGCCGAAAAACCGATCTCGTTTTTCTTGAAAGGTTTCTAACAGGAATCACATATCGTGATTTAATTCTTGAGCCTGTCCTGTTACCTATGACCTATGCTAATGATTTTGGGAGAAACTTCATTTTCATGCATGACAATGCACGGCCTCATACAGCCAGAGTGGTAAGTGAGTTTATCAATGCTCATCAATTAAACATCTTACCCTGGCCGGCACAATTTCCTGACCTCAACCCCATCGAGCACGTATGGGACGCGGTCCAAAGAAGAATTTTGAGAATGGGCATGCCTCGTGAAACTCGTAGGGATCTGGTTCGGGCCGTGAATGCAGCGTGGCAAGCTGTACCTCAAGAAGAGATCGACAACCTGATCAGGAGCATGGAGAGACGATGTAGGGCTGTAATGAACAGTAGAGGAGGCCATACCCTTTATTGTAAAAATGGTTTTATCTTTTTTTTAATTCACAGTTTAGAATTTAAAAAAAAATGTGTGTATTTTTTTGAGTTCAGTAAAAATCAAGGTAAATTTGAAAAATTCGGTAAATTTCGCATTTTTATTTCCAATACGTCCTGTAAACTATTTGTTTATTTGAATTTTATTATATCAGAAATGCAAATAATAAAATTACTGACGATGGCTGGATAAAATTGTAATATCCCTAGACTTTTCCGGTGTGTATATATCACATATATCCCTAATATCTATTAAAATGTTGGACCGATTTTTGAAGTTATTTTGTGTGAATCCATTACACTTCGAAATGACAGATTTATTTTGAAATTGTGAAGTGCCAGAAATCCGGTATTTGAATATATTTCATTCGCAAACTCTAGTGCAGAACTAGCTTCTTCTGATGGCAGGTTATATTTTTATTCCCGAGGACTAATCAATGTCAAAAAATAAACTCGAGTCAAGACTGTTTTATACCTTTTTTGGAACAGCTGAATGTTGATCGAGCCAACTTCCGCATTCCCTAATTTATCTTCTAGTTCATTCCAAATTTCTACCGACATGTTGTTCTGTAATAAGTACTTTGCACTTTGAACATTAGATGGTACCAACAATTTTATTCCCGACTTAAGACAGTCATGACTATTTCCAAAAAAAATCTCTTTAATCTAAGCGGCCGATTTTTATGCGGAAATAGAGGCATCTCTCGGCAAAGTTTATAGAATAAAATATATCGGTGACTGATGTGGAAAAATGACACTCACCGTAGAAATGTTAATATTGTCAATACCGGGCAGAGTTACAAAGATTAAGCCATTTAGGATAGGACTTTAAATAGAAAATTGATTAAAATCAAAAAAATCCGATGAAAATTTAAAAAAATCTGATTAAAATAAAAAAATCATTTTTTTTTAAATCAAGATTTTTTGCACCTTGGATAAACGGAATATAGAATCTCTTAATTTATATTTTTATTCATTCAGACGTTTTGATATGCTTGTGGCGACAAAAAGTAATCAAAATATTAATATTTATGTGTTTTTATATGTGTACCATTGCTAATAAAGTTTAATTTTATGACAATCTGTTTTTATGTGAATAATTAGTTCAAAAGATAGCGTAAAAATATAACAATAGGAATTATTTGCAACTGTTTTTGTTGAATTTTTTATCAAATAAAATTATCTAGATAGGATATGGCTATTATCTTTAAAAAATAATAGGAAATCTCATATTCTCGAAATGTCAAATTTATGTTTAAAAAATTGAAAAATATTGCGGAAATCCTGATCTTCCGAGTACCTGTTCTAAGAATGAATTAATATCACAGTCATTTTAAATTCTGTAACTTATTACGCTTGCAGTATATTCGTTAAATAAAAATAAGATAATATGTGTAACAATAATTTACAACTGAATTCAACCAATTCAAAATTAAGTATGTCACTATAGAGAAAAAAAAAGACAAAAAGGAAGCAAAATGACAAAAAAATATGACAAAATTCTTTTTTATGAAACACCCTGTATGAATTTATAAAAAATCTTAAAATATGTAAAACAACAAAATAAAATATACGTGTTTAAGAGTTTTTCCGAAAAACTCACCGGTTATATATATATATAAAAAAAAATATATATCACCCTCAAATATTTTAATATTTGAGGGATAGTTTCACCCCCTTAGAATTCGAGTTTCGAAAAATCCCTTCTTATCGAACCTCTACACCCTAAAGTCAATCTGTTTTCCAAAAATTAGCTTTTTACGTCAAGCGCTTTAAGCAGGATCGTGATTAATCAATGACCAGATTTTTCGAAACACCCTGTATACATTTTTAAAAATTCTTAAAATATGTAAAAAAACAAAGTAAAATACACGTGTTTAAGCGTTTTTTCGGAAACTTGACCGTTTTTTAAATGAAAAATATTGTAATATTTGAGGGGTGGTTTCACCCTCTTGGAACTGGAATTTCGAAAAATCCCTTCTTATCGAACCTCTACACCCTAGAATCAACCTGTATGCCAAAATTGAACTTATTACGTTGAGTGGTTTGAGCAGGATCGTGATTAATCAGTATGTCAGTCAGGATTTTATATATTAGTATAGATTACTTAAACTTCATTTTTTGTTTCAAGAAAAATTTTGTATATTGCATATTTTGGCAGATATTTGCAAAAAACTGATTTTTTGGCCAAAGCTGGCCGAGCAGAGTGTTTTGAAGAATTTTCCCCCCTAAAACTACCACCCAAAAGGTACACAATCCGCCTAAAAGTCAAGTTCGACGAATTACGCCGAGACTTGGGAGTCTTTTCGTGTCCTCATTTACTTGGTTATGTGCACTCTGCTATTTTAATACAAAAGTTAATCAATTTGTTGAAAAAAAGAACCCTCTTATAATTTTTTTTTCATACTTATTTATTTAAACCCTGTATATTGAAAAAGAAATCAAGGATTCATAGATCATGAAAATATAAAAAAATATATATTACAATCTAAAAAAAGCGACTATTATGAATATGTTAATTGATATTTTACGCATTCCAATTGTTAATTTAAATCGTTCGTTATTTACACCTCTCGCCTTCGCAAAAAAAAAGTGAAAGTCTCCGTCCGCGCAAATATTTAACGAAAATAATTAGTACCATCGGTATAATTAAACGTTACCCCACACGAGCACTCACCTATTAGCTTCCACGTTATTATTTATGCCATTGTTGTGATTATTGTTGTTATTGTTTCCGCCTCTAGCTCTGTTTCCGCCGGCCAGTCGAGCCTTGCCGCCCATCTGCGGCTTGACCCACTGGGTGGACTTGGTCATGTGATTGACGTAGTAGGGCCTACCGTTCACGGCCCTTCTCTCCTCCCAGCCCGTGGGCAGTTCATCTGTAGCGTTATTTTCGTTTTCCGGTAGGTTATTTTCGATGGCGGGGGTGTTTGGGGGTCCCCTGATGTCTCCCAGGGGGCTTACGACGGCCAGGGGAGTGCCGCCGCAAGGGCCGTCGCGCGAGAGCAACGAAATGATGATTTGACCCTTTACGGGTTCGCCGTCGTCTTGAGAAGCGCGTCCCAAATCCAAACACTGAACTGCAAACAAAATAAAACATACAGATGTAATATTCTAACAAAAAAAAAACAATTTTAAAATATTTAACAGGAAATCTTTGAATAAGAAGACTAAGGAAGGAGCATAATGCTATCCATGTATTCATGCATGGTGGGCGGAAAAGCCACCATAAAAGCTCTCTAGGGTGGGGATCCTTGACAGTTCTGTTTGACGATTCATTTGACACATTTGAATTTGATTTGAAATTTTGTGGATTTGTCAGTCTTTACGGAGCTTATTTTATGTTATTTATTATTTATTCTACTACTGATAGTTGTATAAAGGTAGTAAATCTAGATGGAAATTGTGGCAGAACTTAAATTAACAGTGACGCTATCGCGATTTATCGAAAAATACTCTAAAATAGTGGGTTGTGTAGCGTGCGGTAGATCTCGGCAAAAATTGAGTGAAATAATGGAACAACTTTTCGCTAGTAAGTGACTATATAATATACATACGTGTAGTAAACCGATCATTTATGAAATTCACTTAAATTAACTAAATTATATATTTTTCTTGCATTTTAGCTTTTATTTATTACTTGTCAAAGATTAGATGTCAAAGAATTTAGATACGTTAATTTGACTTACCTGCTTCAGTAGCGTATCGGATGTTTGTGTTAATAAATACTTATTATAACTTATCTATTTTTATTAGAATTATATATTTTTATAACAATTTTAATAACTACCAACATTTATTCACAACGTAAAATAAAACAACAAATTATTGAGTCTACCCCACGTCTACCCTACATCATAGTTTTACATTTTTTAAATAAAATTAGAACGACACTGATAAACCGGAATTTAAGTCGGCCATATTTGAGGCCCATCGCGGTGTACCTAAGATTTTTGATATGCTCCTTCCTTATTCAAAGCAGGAAATCAATAAAAGATAACGTGCATGTCATCAAAGTATTTGACGAATGCACGTTGCAATGTTGCCAGGGCTACTTTTTTACATGGATTTTTGACAAGTCGGTGGTTTTATGGCAAAAGGTACTATGTATAGAAATTTTGGCGTTTTTCTTGTTATATGTAATATGGCAATAAGATCTACGATCCATAAAAATTGTATGGTTCCAGTTGCCTTAAAAAGCTAAATGGAACCTTTTTAAGCCAAATGGAACGATATGATTTTTATAGAATATATACAGGGTGAGTTTCCTACGATGTTCTAAACTACTGGAGATAGAGAGTCAGTTAAATGGGGAAAGAATTGCAGTTTTGTGGGGTCATAAATATGCGCTTTTCAGATTTTCGAAAAAGTTCATGGCTTACTAGATATTTCGAAAAAAACAAATTTTGGCTATTTTAAAAATTGTCCCTAATTCCATTATAATCTATTTTAGACAAAAAGTTTTCAGATAAAAGTTGTAGATAATCACATCCCTAATGAGATTGTGTTCTCCGATTTTTTCTAAAGCCTGTGATTTTTGACATATGACACAAACATATGTTTTTTTAAATGGAAACCATAGTTGGCCATGACTTCATAAAAAGCGCCGTTTGTTAGCTTTTCAACGATATAAGCTATATGTTTCTTTCACAAAATTACTGAGTTATAACCAATTCTTATCTTTCTTGACTAATTTCACTTAGTTAGCCATGGAAACAAGTTCAATCGTCGTTGCTCTCACAAATGTGAAATTGTCACATCCAATCTTTGTAAATTAATATAAACAAAAATTGTAAATAAGAGTTTTTTAAATGAAGAACAGCGTGTAGAATTATTGGTTCAACTTTTCTGGGCTATACAGGATACGTTGACCAATAGGATAAGTTGAACCAATAATCCTACACGCTTTTCTTCATTTGAAAAATTTTTATTTACAATTTTTGTTTATTTTAATTTACAAAGATTGGATGTGACACAATTTCACATTTCTGAGAGCAACGACGATTGAACATGTTTCTATGGCTAACTAAGTGAAATTAGTCAAGAAAGATAAGAATTGGCTATAACTCAGTAATTTTGTGAAAGAAACATATTGTAGCTTATATTGCTGAAAAGCTTAAAAAATGGCGCTTTTTATGAAGTCACAGCCAATTATGGTTTCCATTTAAAAAAACATATGTTTGTGTGATATGTCAAAAATGACAGGTTTTATAAAAAATCGGAGAACACAGACTCATTAGGAATATGATTATCTACAACTTTTATCTGAACACTTTTTGTCTAAAATAGATTGTAATGGAATTAGGGACAATTTTTAAAATAGCCAAAATTTGTTTTTTTCGAAATATCTAGTAAGCCATGAACTTTTTCAAAAATCTGAAAGGCGCATATTTATGACCCCACAAAACTGCAATTCTTTCCCCATTTAACCGACTCTCTATCTCCAGTAGTTTCCGAGATGCCCACAGAGAACTTCGTAGGAAACTCACCCTGTATAGCTTTTTCGTATTACAATAATATCGCAATAAGATTTCAAGAAAAGTATGTACCTTGTGCCATAAAACCACCAAAGTGTCAAATAAAATTCGTAATTTTGTCACCAATATTTCACTTCTATTTTAGACACAATATACAGGGTGTGCGTTCATTAGAAGCTTCTAGAGAACTACAATATCTAGGACGACAACGAGATCGATCGATTAAAAATATTTTTAATATGGCGGCACTTCCGGTTGATAGCAACTTTCTTATTTTAAATGGGTGCCCCCATTTTTTATTACATAATTAAATTATCTGTAAAATTTTATGAATTTTGATATTAAACACTCCATACCTAACATTAACCGTTTTTGAGAAAAAAAAATATTAAAAATTTTTGGACGAAAAAAATTGCCTATTGTGACACTTCTGAAAGAATGTATGTCATCGATCATCATTTCCAAGCCAACTTTGTGCCGTTTTTTTTTGATCATATGGTATATTATTAATATCAACTATTAGATGTCACTAAAGAGTGAATATACAAGACATATTTTTATAAATACAGCTTTTAAACTCTTAAGCAGGCAGTATCGTGGCTAATGTCATATTCAAGGCCTTACTGTTTTGACAGTTCTACCGAAGTGGTCGAGAATTAGTAGTCTTAAACAAACCAATTGTTTTCATTAGTTTCCCAACAAATCTGTGTTTTTTACGCGTTTCTATGCTAATAAAATTATACTAAATAATTTTGAGTGAATAGTGAACTATCTAGATCCGATTCATAACATCGTACCCGCGAAAAAAACCATACTTTCGGTAAAAATTATAGTAACACCGGCGATGCCGGCTGGAAAAAGTTGGGGAATTTATATAAAAACATAATTAATAGCGTTAGTGTTAGTGTATAGTGTTAAACCAACGTAAGTGACGTGTATTTTTAGGTGAAACAGTTGTCGTTTCCTTATTTTTACTTTGTGAAATAAAAAATGTCGCGACATTGTTCTGTGCCTGTGCCTTGTAGCAGCAATTATAATAAGTACTCAGGATCTGTGTACATTCTCTTTCCCAACAATATTAACTGTAACTAAGTCACGTTCAAAACCTACAGAAGATGCTGTGCCTACAATTTTTCCAAATCAACCCTCTTATATGACTGGGCATGTTCCCATAAAGAGAAAACATCCCGATGAAAGAAAACAAGATTTGGAAATTCAGGATGAAATAAATATTGAAAATTATTATTATTATTATGAAATGGCAATATATTTTAAAGAAATTAAATGAATTGTACTTTATTTCAGTATTTTATATAAAAAATGATAGTTATCTTTTTATTTACGATTTATGGAGACTGTTACTTGATGAACATCGAACTACAAATTACTTAATGATAATAGTTGATTCTACCTGATATGCACATTTTTTAAATATGTTAGGCAAATTTTTACAATTATTTTTAATTAAACTTTAAAATGTATTCTGCCGTTATCATATACAATACATTTTCTTAACTTGTTGATAAACATATAGTTCTCAAATTTTTTAATATTTGGAAACTTTTTATCACAAGGTATATTATTACTAGTTGCTAAATACTCGCTAATGCAATTTTAGGACACGCTTTTTATTATCTAGATTTTATTTTGTTCATCTTATGCTGTGTTTATTTCATATTAATATTCGTGCTTTAGATCTAAATTTTAATGCTATTCAATTACTTTAACGCGATAAAAAGTTAATGTTATTTTTTAATACCTTTCTGTATATTTTTCATATTTATATCTGGCAAAACTATCAATAAATACTATTATTTATGCAAAAACTATATGCAGTACCATATGGCACAATACAAAAGCCCGACTAGTGCGGTGACGTCACAAATCGAAGTCTCTGGCCTGTATCTCATGTTGGTTATGGCAGTATTTATAATATAGGAAATTTAAATAATTAGTTTTCTAACAGATTGAAATGAATTCTCTGATTGTTTGAAATTTAATGTTAAAGGAAGCTAGATATATAAAATCAAGAAAAATATACGTTTTAACAAATAGGAGTCATATTGACATCAAAATCAAATTTCTCATGTCAAAAAACTCCCAGACACCAATTTTTATCCAAATATTGACGTTACTTCAGAAATTATTTGGAAGAAATCAAAATCAAAAATCAATCTTATAAACCCTGTATCTCCAAAACAAAGCATTTTAGAACAAAAATTTATACAATTTTTTTTACTTATTTTTATATGCAGAATATACTGCCAAAGTTTCCGGAATACAGTTCGGACCACCCTGTATAATTATAACATATTATTTTTTGCAAATTTACTTATATTCTTTTCAGTGTAGGCAAAACAACAATTTTGTTGAAAAACTAAATGATCTTGTCAGTTCTCTAGACAGGCTTCTGTCATAATTCAGTTCAAATAAAAAGGACCATTTTTTCATCTACAATGTTTTAGTTGATACATTCTGACTGAACATGTAAGACTGACAGGTAAAACAATAAGTGTAGGGCTTGAGACAAAAATAAAGGCAGTTAGCATATATTATCAGCAATAGACAGACACAAATGCAGGGTTGTTAGTTTTTACATGCCCTAGATTTGTTAAGAATGAGTGTAATAAAGACAAAATTGAATTAAGAAGACACTCATAGAAATCAAAATCACAGATAAAATGATCACGTACGTATGTGTAATCGTTTTTAAACTACAGTGCATATCTGATACTATAAACAACACTTTTACAGTATATATTTCTTTTAATATGACGATTCATTTGTTTGATTTTAAAGAGAAATTGTTTGTATTTAAAAAAGGGTACTTACAGCCTGTATCTTTCAGTCTTTGAATCAAAGAATTCACTATACGAACACATCCTAAAAAACCACTGCCTGGTTTTTTATGAACTTTGCGATAATTCCATATTGTAATAGTGATTGTGTCCGTTTTCCCAATGTATAAGTCGTAATGCGAATTCCATTTCGGATCCAAAGTATTTTTCACAGTTTCTGTGGAGTGACATTGCCCACTTCCATCAACCGAGATTTTGGCAAAAGGATCAGGCAAACCTACAAAAAAATGAATATATCTTTAGTTGGTTGTTATATTACTAACTTATGTACTTAATTAAAACTTCTCTACCCATATAAATCAACACCGATGGATTATTTACCGTGAAATAACCCAGTGAACAAACTTAAAAGTTAGCTACTTCAATGACTAATTACTATGATTATAAGCGACGTAATATTTATATACTTACGGAAAAGCTCTTTTCGGACTAAATTCCTGGCACATACGACTGAAAAGAGACATTTAAATTAATATTATTACATCACAAATTTATTATACTTGGGAGGTCCCTCTCCAATGAGGCCATATTGTTTGACAGTTAAACAATGTACGAAATTCCTCAAATTTAACAATTTTCGACGGTCTGAAACAAAATTTGATATACTCACTTGTTAAACGAATCTTCTGTGCTCCATTTCGACGTGTTGATGGTGTATTAGACATCGTTATAAATGTAAATTTAATATTAACACATCACTGCACACTATGTATTCCTCGCCATGTTCTAAAGTTTAATAATTTTATCGACGGTGCTGCTCCAGCGGAACGATTATCTACTAATAGTTCGCGGGTAAATTCAAAATTTAAAAATTACAATTTTTAATAATAATTTCATTTGTAAACAAACTTTTTAGTTAGAATATTAGTTAAACACAACAATACTTTAATTTTACCATGGTATAAGTTATTAAAAAAAGGTTATAATAAAATAAGCAACTTTTAAACGTCTATATTATCATAAGAAATTCCATGTCTTGTGAGAAGCTGTTTTAAAATTACAATTTCTTCCTCATCGTGCTTTTTCTTCTCCATCATTTCTTGCTCGTGTTCTTCCAACATTTTTATGTATTTGATTTCGAGTGCGTTTAACTTCTTATTGAATTCTTCCTCAAGATTTACGTTGGTCTGTTTTAGTAATTCGGTCTTTTGAGCATTTAATTGAATCTAAAAATACTGTATATCTGAGATAAAACAATAATATTATTATTAGATATTTAATTTAATTACAAATATCGAACTTTTTTTAAAAATCGATTCTCAACAACATCACTAACAAGAACTGTCAAAGTCAAATTATCCAATTATACATAACCTTGTTTTTTCGAAGGGTTATTGAAAATTTGTGTTTTTATTTTAAAATTTTAAATTTAATAGAAATTAAAGATGTCTAAAGAAATTAAGCTTTCCAAATCCATCTTAGAGATGAAATTTATGAAAAAGACGAAAGAAAAAGTGGATAAAGCTGAAGAAGATGCGGAAGGTCAGGCTATGTATTCGAACGAGATTACAGAAGAAATGAAAAAAAGTGGCAATATTATATTTAGACCGGCCAGTATAACTATATGCAAAAGATTAGTGGAAGGTAGGCTTTCGTTTGGAGGTATGAATCCAGAAATAGAAAAACTAATGGCGACTGATTATAAGAAAATCGTGGTTGAATTGGAGAAACGCAAAGAAAAAGACATTACCGATGAAGAAATGGCACAAAGACATTCGACAGTCGTTAATACGATCAGCAACAAGTTTAAAAAGAAGAGAAATAGGAATAAGAAGTTTCAGAAACCTCCTACAAACGAACCTTTAATATAAGTCAACAGTGTTAACCTAATTTACCTAATAAATTTCAATATAAAATACAGAATACCTGTAAGGAGATTTCTTTACTGTTTAGATCTTCTTTTAACTTTTCTATCTGCCGTAGATATTCCCTTTCCGAACGTTTGAAAGTTTTGTCCATTTTCGATACACATTTTTTGAGCAGGCCTAACTTTTTGTCACACTCACAACTCGTCAGGTGGTTTTGTAAAGAAGATATTTCATTTGATATTCTGTAAGTAGATTGTATACTTATTTTATTCAAAATTATTATATTTAATTCACAATCTTGCTTACTGTTGGCAACGTTTCTGAATTATGTCTGTTAATCTGAAAATTTCTTCATCTTTCTTATTGATTAATTCATCATTTATTTTACTTTTATTCCTTATCTGTTCATGAAAATTGTTTTTGAGGGTTTCAATTTTATTGCTATGTTCATATTCTAAATTACTAATTTCTGCCTGGAACAATAAATATAATTTTAAAATCAAATACTGTGTAAAATTAAGTAGTAAACAAAATAGAATTCTTTTTTTGTTTAATTATGACAAAGTTATTGTTTTTTAATGGTCATTTTTTGAATTTTAATATAAAATATGTTAATTAAAATATTACAAATATGTCTGGAATGGAATTCTCATTGAAGATTCATTTTCTTCAGGAGTTAATGCTCTTTTGAAGACAAATATTTGCCATCTCTATTTCAAGGCTTTGCGTTCGACAACTGCTCGTGCGACGTTGCCGATGTATTAAGAAAGTCTCTAAAGAGAGTAATATTTTGTTTTTAAGGAGAAGGCATTTTAAATTAAACACTTTTTTCTACTTATTTTTATTATATCTTTGTGGACCCTTTATCAAGTAGTCTTGTACTACTTGGAATATACAGAGCGTTTCAACATAAAATAATAATCTTTGAGAGCGATATTCCTGTATTTTGTATTATTTTCTATAAATTGTTGGTATAAAAATGAATAATTTGCCTTTATTTTTTTATATTTTACTAGTTAAAATTCAAGTCGGTAAAAAAAACTAAATTATAAATATTAAACAGACTCAATTTTTTTTCAAAAAAACAAGAACAAAACAAAATCTATAAATTTTACAAAGATACGTCAATTTTTTGATATCATCTGTCCAAAAAGAGTTTTGAGAATTTTTATAATAAATATGTATATACAGGGTGAGTCTTAAATAAGTGCAAATATTTTCAGAGTTGGTAGATCTCGATAAAAGACACATATTTTCTTTTTACCGTTTTTAAAATAAGTCCAAAATAATCGAGTTATTTTTCTTTGAAAATTTTCAAAAAAAAATATTTTTTGCTTAAATTTTGCGAACCACTGGATCTTTTCTAGGGTTTCTTTCTTGTAAATTTAATCTACTACCTATGTTACCATATTATCAAGAAATTATGTTTTTTAACAAAAAAAACTAAAAAATTTCCAAATTTTCAATTTTTTTTCGCGAAAAAACCCCTCATAATCGTGTTTCTGGGGTCGAAATATACTACCCCAAAAATATTTGCACTTATTTAAGACTCATCCTGTATAAATAAATAATACTTTATTTGTTCCCAAGTAACACAGTGCATAATGGCCTCAAAGGCGTAGGTCAATGTCAAAATTAAAAGAAAGGTACACTCCAAAAAGGTAGATCCCTCAAAAGGTAGATCCTCCAAAAAAAAACGGCGTCAGCAATGGCTATGGAGTGAAGATTGCTGTAATAAAATTATATGAGACTGTCATCGATCGTCATTTCCAAGCCAACTGGACGCCGTTTTTTTTCGAACATACGGTAGAAGAAATCAGAAAAAAAATATAAGAAACAAAAAGAAATTCTCTTTCAATTTACAATATCAAATACTGTATGATCGAAAAAAAAACGGCGACCAGTTGGCTTGGAAATGAACCATCAATGACATTCCCCCAAAGACATAAAGACATTATATTTTAATATACAGGGTGTCACAAAAAATAGTGTATCTAACTTCGGGGGATAATTCTACATCTTGAAAACCATTCACCATTTCGAACTAAACAAAGCACCTTTTTTACGTAAAAAAGTTCTAGTTTTTGATGAAAAAGATGAAATATAAACCATAAATATAATTTTGTAATAAAATTCCGTGATTTTTCTTCTCAACTTCACTAAACACAATGGCTATAATAATTGATCAAAGCAGTGCTTTCCCCACAGCCTTTACCAAAAACTGATCTAAAACCACAGGTAAAACTTAGAAACATAAAATGTTAAAAACTCGTGAAAAAATACAACCAAAAATCGGAAACTTCTGTAGTTTTTCCGCCATATTTTCGGAAATAACAAAGATAAGTTCAATTACTAAAACAAACTATCATTGGGCTCCTCGATAAGCACGAATCCAAAGCAACGAAAAAGCCGATGAGCTAGCTAGGCAAGGATCATTGGCATCCTATCTTGGTCCAGAGCCAATACTGGGAATACCCAAATGTATGGCCCGTAGTGCACTCAAACTCTGGATCAGGGAAAAGCAGAATGTCCACTGGAGAAACAGACAGGGGCACAGGCACAGCAAGGCTTTTATCCAAGGACCTAGCTCTAAAACCGCAAAAGAAATGCTAATCCTCAGCAGGAATAAAGCGCGTATTACAACACGCCTCTTGACATGACACATGGCTGTCAAGTGTTACCCGAATAAGCTCAACCTGTATCAAGGAAGTTTTTGCTGTAGACTCTGCGATAAAGATCCTGAAACAGCGGAACACATAATAGCTTTTTTCGTTTTCCTGTTATTACCGATTCTGAACCGTCCTAGAATTGTGATGCGTATGCGCAGAAGGAAATATAAAGACATTATTTCATTTGCGCATGCGCTGCATAGTTCTAGGACGATTCAGAATCGGTAATAACAGGAAAACGAAAAAAGCTACAATGTCACTGCGAGGCTCTGAATCGCAAGAAACCTTAGACAAGGAAAGAGAGGGGACGGGTAACACGCATATTCTCCCGCAATGAGGTTTCTCCCGTGATCGGTTAGTGAGGCCAAAATTCGATCGGCGGCCATACTTTGGTGACAAGATTTCGAGGTGACACCGAGCGAATGTTTATGTTTTTTGTGACAACTGTTTTGTTTTAAATTTATAAACTGTGTTGTTCAGTACGGTGAGATGTTCAGCGTATGGCTGCAAAGGCCGAAGCGAGAAAAAAGTGGCTGGAATTACATTTCACAGGTATAAATCGATAGAGAACTTTTGTTATGTGGTCATAAAATGTACATTTTTTTCATTATAGCAGTAAAAATAAGTAAAATGCTTTTAATATGTCTTGTACCACATCCAAACCAAACTATTTTTAATAATTCCAAGTAGTATTTTCAATATCCTGTATTATAATTAATGTTTGAAACTATAAATATTGCTACTCAGACCGGATTTCACCAGTGGCGTAGGGAATTATAATCAGAGAAATACAATTTCTGCAATAAACATTTTTTTATATATTTTACATGTAAAAAAATGTATAAAGTATTGTTATCAAATATGTAAAATAATTGTAAACTACAAAAAAATGAAAAATACTAGTGATAAAAAATCTATATGTATAGTTGTTGTATAAAACTTAAATTTACCTGCCAAGATTTGTTGGGGATGGACAAACTTGTGGTGGGCTACTTGTTACTACTTAGATATATTTTTTTATATATTCTTTAAAAAAAATGCTAATTTAAGTGTATAATAATAGTTTCAGTGAGTAATTAATAAAAATTTAAAAATAAATAAAATAACACAAAGCTTCCAGAATTGTTTTGTTTTTTTGTGGATAAATTCGGATATTCTTAAAAATAGGATATTCTTATGATTGAAGGTAACAAATACTAAAAATTACATTGATTGAATCCGTACGCAAGTGTGAAGGGTAATGGCTAGATTCATTATTATACCGTATGGTCGAAAAAAACGACGTCCAGTTGGCTTGTAAATGACGATCGACGACATTCCCCATATAATTTTACATATAAAATGACAGCGATCTTCATTTCATAGCCATCGCTGACGCCGTCTTTTTTCGATGTCGTTTTGTATAGTTTTTATGTCATTTATATGTAGAATTATATGGGGAATGTCATCGATCGTAATTTACAAGCCAACTGGACGTCTTTTTTTCTCGATTATACTGTATAATAATGAATCTAGCCAATTCCCTTCACACTTGCTTACGGATTCAATGAATAATGTAATTTTTAATATTCATTTGTGAAATTGTCATTTCCAAACAAACAAGACGCCGTTTTTTTCGATCATACAGTATATATGTATATACACGTTTAAAATATATGTTATTACATTATTTTTTATTTAATTATACATTATACACACGTTAATAAATAAATAATTGTCTTGATAATCAGTCCACTATGACTGTTAAATAAATTTTGCATGGATATTCTAATATTATAAAGGTGAGACTATAAAATACAAAATTGCATATGCATTCCTCAAAAATGAACGTTATATTAGTTTACGTTTTAATAAATATTTTGTACCGTCTAGGTACAAGCTAATTTCTGATGCTACGCCATTGGAGAATTTCGCGTGGTGACAACTTGCCTCACTTTCAGCTGCCCTCTCTTTCCTTGTCTAAGCAAGGAACACTTCTTATTTGGGAAAGCTAGGCTTGTGGCTAGGCTAGAACCGGATGAACTATGCTCCTGTCCTATTATGGACCTGCATAAGTTGGTGCAGGGCACAGGGATAGGAGAATGGGTGCAGATATAGAAAGGCGACAATCACAATGGGCCTCACAGATCGTAGTGTTTCCGGTAGAGGACGGCTCCTTGTTATTGAAAAAAAAGATGCACTTTTGCCCTAATTTGTTACCACCCTGTATCTTTATTCGTTTCCGAGATCCCAATGACGAGAGTAGGTTTAAAAACACTCGGTATATTCAATCTAAAACAATGCTATTTATAGCAACATACTCAGGTAAATTTATCCCATTGCACGAACATATGTTTGCGCAATATGACGGTGCACCGAGACAAAAAATTACGAAAAAATAACGGCAAGTGAGCATCGGTATTTCACAGACCCTTCCAATCGCATCTCACCAAAGAACAAATTGAAAGTGATCGCGATTCGCGATAAGATTTCGTAGGTACAAAAAATGCACTTGACCTTTTTTCCAGTACCGCCGCGCCGACGATATTCCGAGAAAACCCACCTCTTGCAGCCGGCAACGCCGCACATACCAGACTTGCTGACCGACAATACCTGACGGTAGTACCGGCAGTACCTTTCGTGCCTGTCTGCCGCGAGTACTACCGTTGTTCACCTTTCTATCGATGTGTTAGCCATGGGAAAACTGAACAAGATCGAGGAAAAGGACACGAACGTTTCCGTCCATTATACCAAACTCCAAGACGAAGATTCAGCTAGTTGTGACGGAGAATTTTTGTCTTACACCTGCAACCACTGCGGACATA